TTTTTGGAGAGGTTTTTGCTATAGGGCGTGTGCACTCGCCAGACAGACAGAGACAGAGAGACAGAAAGCGAGAAATCACCGCCCCCCCCAAGGGGGATGGCCACGCCACAATCCCTTCTTCTCCATTCTCCTCTCAGGATCTTGGGCACGCACACACACGGCCAGCATGAGTTTAAGCCACTGAGTCCAGGACTTGAACTGTGATCAACTACATGGGAGTCAAGCAACATAGCCATGTAGCCATTATTCCAACTGCTGGTCCCTCTTTCAGTATCTTTAAGACAGTTTTTTTTTTTTTTTTAAGATTTTTGCTAGAGGGTGCATGTGCTTGCTGCTGGAGAGACAGAAAGTAAGAATTTACCCCCCAGGGTGGATGGCCATGCCACAATTCCTTCTCCTCCATTGTTCTCTTGGGATCTTGGGCACACATACATGCGCTCAGAGTGAGGTTTTGTTTTTTTTTTTTTGAGAGGTTTTTCGCTATAGGGTGCGTGCGCTCACCAGATAGACAGAGAGAGAGACATAGAGACAGAAAGCAAGAAATCACCCCCCAGGGGGGATGGCCATGCCACAATCCCTTCTCCTCCTTTCTCCTCTCGGGATCTTGGGCACTCACACACACGCGCCTGGTGTGAGGTTTAAGCCACTGGGTCTGGGACTCAAACTGCGGTCGACTACATGGGGGTCCAGTGACATAGCCATTACACTAACTGCTGGTCCCTATCAGCAGATTTCTAACCTGCAAATTTGGTGGTCAGAAAGCTGAAGGCTGAAAGGAAAAACCTGTTAGCCAAGAATCCTTTATCCAGCAAAAGAGTCCTTCTTGGGCACACACGCACATGCGCCCAGCGTGAGTTTTAAGCCACCGGGTCTGGGAAGTGAACCGTGGCCGACTACGTGAGAGTCCAGCGACATAGCCATTATGCTAACTGCTGGTTCCCCAGAGTGAGTTTTAAGTCGCCAGATCTGGGACTCGATCTGGGGTCGAGTATGTGGGAGTCCAGCAATGCAAACATTATGCCATCCTAAGACAGTTGTTTTTAAGGTCTTTGTCTAGTAGGTCCTCTTTTTTTTCTTTTTTTTGGAGAGGTTTTTGCATCAGGGTGCGTGCGCTTGCCAGAGAGACAGAGAGAGAGAGAGAGAGAGACAGAAAGCGAGAAATCACCCCCCAGGGGGGATGGCCACACCGCAATCCCTTCTCCTCCATTCTCCTCTCTGGATCTTGGGCACAAACGCACACGCTCCCGGCATGAGTTTAAGCCACCGGGTCCAGGACTCGAGCGGTCAACTATGTGGGAGTCCAGTGACATAGCCATTACACTAACTGCTGGTCCCCCAGCTCAGCTCTTTATCAGAGTTTCTCTTGGCTTTTTTTCCCCTTAAATGGGCAATATTTTGTTTCTATGTATGTTTTTAAAGTTTTTGTTGAAAACTAGACAGTCGAGTCAGAGTAACTCTAAATCAGATGATCTTTCTTCCCCAGGGATTGCTGTTTCTTTCTTTTTGTTCTTTTTTATTATTATTATTGTCATAAGATGTCTTTGTGCTGAGAATCAGACTGAAGTTTAAAGTTAAGGTTTTGTCAGGTCTTTCCCTGGGCAGGCACTGTGACCAATTTTCCCTGTATATGCCATTGTGTTTAAATACAACTTTAATAAATGGCTCTCAAAGGGGAAAAAGAAGAACGAAGATGAGCTGGCTCTTTAAGTCCCCTGGAAGTCACTGGAGCCAGGGGGGTGGGGATTTAACAACAGCCCCGCCTCTTTGCCCACACCTCTGTGGTCCAGCTGCAGGCAGTGATCAGAGCAAAGATCCCTGATGTTTGGAGGAGGTCTGTGTCGCTCCCCTTGTTCAGGCAGGCTGTGGGCCGAGGGGAGCCTGGGTGGCGACTACTACGCTAAGGGCTAACCTGACCCTTCCCCTCGGAAGCCAGCTTTCCCAGGGGCACATCTTTTTGACCAGATGCTTTGGAGTCTCCCTGCACACAGCACGTGCTGATCTGAGCCCTTTTCTAACTCACCTCTCAGGCTGTTTGGGCCAAAGCGGAAGATGACCTCTGCCATCGCCCGCTGGCACAGCAGTGCCCGCCCCCCCAGTGATGCCCTGGAGCTGGCCTACGCCGACCGGCTAGAGGCCGAGATGCAGGAGCTTGCCATCCAGCTGCACAGAGTGAGTGGGATACAGGAGGAGAGGGTCCATAGCTGCACCCCTGCAGGGAAGGGCAGACCCTGAGAGGAAGGCATCATAATGCAGACGCTGGGCAGGAGACGCAGGCAGCCACCCCCACAGGAAGGGGCACGTGGCTGAGGGAGGTGACCTGAGGGACACAGGAACCAGGGGCATAGGATGGAGTAGGCAACACCCAGAGCAGACAAGCATAAGAGGGGGAAAGGTGCTAGGAGTCAGGACAGATGTGAGCCCCAGGAGGGAGCCCCAGCCTCACCTCTGCCCTCACCCTGCAGCGCTGTGAGGAAGTGGAGGCCATGCGGGGCCAGGTGTCCCAGGAACAGGAGCTGCGAGCCGTGGTGGAGAGCTGCCTGCTGGAGCAGGACAGCGCCCGCAAGGACTTGCACACCCAGCTGCAGGAGACCTGGGCCCTGGCCCAGGACGCCGCCCTTGTCCTAGACCAGCTGCGGTGAGGGCTGAGCTGCTGAGGCTTTACGGCTTCTGATCTGTTGTCATCTCCTCTCAAGCTGCCCCTACCCCTTCTCCAGGGCCCTTCCTACCTGCAGGATGAGTCCAGGCAGCAAGCAGGGCCACAGGTGTCTGCACTGGCCTCCCGCCATGGTCAGGACAGCTTCCTGACCCTCAGCGCCTATCCAACCCTGCAGCATACGGGTGGGGCCTGCATGAGGACCTGCTTTCACCGGCACTTGGTCTTGTTTCTGGCAGGGCCTGCCAAGCTGAGCTGTCAGCCCGAGTCAGGCAGGACCTGTCCCCTGACATGGCCACCCTGGGCCCAGCCCTGCCCCTGGCTGGTAAGGAGAACAGAAAACAGGAAGCCTGGAGGCCAGGTTTCATCCAGAGGGCTCAGCATGGTCCTAACATTGGCTCCACCATCCCAGGTCCCTGTGCGGGGGGCGGCTGTGTGGGGTACCCAAGCCCTATGGTGAGAGGTGTGGCCACGACAGCTTCAGAAGGCCCTTGTGTTGAGGCCAATTCAGGCCTCGTGACATCTGCAGTCTCCAGCAGGTCGGGCTGGAGCCACCTCACACCTATCCTGGGCTTCACACCTGACCAGTCAATGCTTTGCTCAGCAGGTGGGCAGAGACACTTTGCTGTCATAGATGCCCTGGTAGGGTGGACGCCTAAGTTGGGGAGGAACATGGTGGAGTGCTCCCTAGCCTTGGCCTTTAGGGTCACCTGGCATTGATATCTGGATGGGGTGAGGCACGACTCACGGAGGGGCTCCTGACCACACAGGCTCAGGCCACTCTCTGCACCACAGGCCCCACAGGCTGGCAGGCGGCCCTGCAGGCCATGAGCCTTCCTGAGCTGTCAGGAGCCCTGGAGGACCGCGTCCATGAGCTGGGTGAGTCCCGGACGGCAGCCAGTAGCCTCACCCCACCCAAGGCCTAGACTTTGGTGAAGATAGGGAGCCCCCTTTCTCCCAAGGAAAGCAGGTTTGAGTCCTTCCTCACCAAGGCCAGTCTGAGGGCTGGGGCTATGACTACCACAGAGCAGCCCCATCCTAGGACGGTTGGGGTCATCTACTCCCCGAGCACTAACTTCGGTCTCGTCCTCAGGGCGCACACTGTGCTCAGTGACCCAGAGCCTGGAGAAGCTGCAGGTGCTGAACGGGAAGGAGACGTGGCGGGAGCCCTAGCAGGAGCGTGGGTCAGTACCTGCCAGCCCCGAGCCCACACCTGCACCAAGACGGGCCAGGCAGTGCAGTGTGGCCTTCCCTCTCTCCTCACCGGGTCTCTTTTCAGAACCTGACGTCGGGTGACTAATCCACCCTGAAGTTGTGCCAGGAAGCCAACAGGGCAGCACACAGACGGCTGTAGCAGCCCGGGCCCAGGTGGGGCCGGAGGATCGGGCCCCAGGGAGCAGCCGGCACAGAGGCAGACGGAGGCTATGGCTCAGGCCAGCACCAAGGCAGGGCAAAGGCCTCTTGCCCAGAGTCTGGCCACAAGGGCAAGAGGGGCCTCCCTGGCCCAGACCAGGGAGGGCCTTCGGGAAAGAGCGTGTCCCCACACGCAAGCAGTGCATTGAGGTTTGACCTCGGGTGAGGACCTCGGTGCCTGAAAAATGTCAGCTGTTGGAAAATAAAACAGAATCAGCTGGTGAGGGGCTCAGCTCTGGTCCTGTGATGGGCATTACCAGCTGGCACCACAGGGGACACCTCAGTGCCCTGCAGCTCCAGACGAGTCTACACAGCCTCACTCCACTCGGGCGTAAGCTGCTGAGCACGGCCCCAGGCAGGGTGGGAGGCGTGGTGCAGGGAATTCACTCACAGAGCACCGAGCGCAAAGCCCTTTCCCGTACGCATTGAACTCTTGAGGTGGCAACTGAGAGCACCATTGTCCTTCCCAGGCCACCAGGCACGGGCACATCCCAACCCCCAATCTCTCCAGACGTGGGGCCCTCTCGGTGGTGGCAGCTCCTCTGCGGTCACTGTCCACGAACCTTGTGCTTCCACACCACTCCCCAGGCTTCAGATGGCTGAGGATGGAGCAAGGCGGTTCTTAAAGCACAAGTCAGCACAGCAGGCTCGTGGAGGGCCGTGGAGCCGGGGCTCCGCTCTGAGGAGTGCCCGCAGCCCACTCCTGGGCTGGCACCTTCCCATGTGGGCCTGCGTAGTGTGGACAGCCCCATTCACCAGGCACACGAGCAGCTGAGGACGCCTTTTATTGTCATCTCGCGACAACTCCAGACAGCGAGCCCGCACGGCCCCGCTGTCCTCGGAAACCGAGCCGATGGGAGGCCCTGTTTGCAGCTCACATACCGCGAGAGAAAATCTAACGAAGTAAAGCCAACAACAACCAAAATTAACCGGACAACATCCTCCCTCAGGCCTGCTCTCCTCCAGGCCCTGGGCTGGCTGGGGGAGGACACGGGGGCGAACGAGTCAGCACAGGCTGCCTCCGCCGCCGCGGGGCGCCTCTGGGGCACAGAGCCGTGCGGCCCCC